ATTAAAAGATTTTATGAACTTATTATGAATATTAACCTTTTGCTTGTACAATTTTGAGCTTTGTGATATGGAGAGTGTTGTCATATCGGTCAGGCATCATTATTTTTGGTAAGTATTCTTGTCTGCAAATCCTTTCTTCTTGAGAAAATGCTGACTGTATCCCCATCCCAATCATTGTTACTTCATAAGACCATAAGACCATAAGACATAGGAGCGGAAATTAGGCCATTCAGCCCATCGAGTCTGCTCCGCCATTCAATCATAGCTGATAAGTTCCTCAACCCCATTCTCCTGCTTTCTCCCCATAACCCTTGATCCCCTTGATAATCAAGAACCTATCTATCTCAGTCTTAAATGTACTCAATGACCTGGCCTCCACAGCCTTCTGTGGCAGTGAATTCCATAGATTTACCACTCCCTGGCTGAAGAAGTTTCTCCTTATCTCCGTTCTAAAAGGTCTTCCCTTTACTCTAAGGCTGTGCCCTCAGGTCCTACACTCTCCTACCAATGGAAGCATCTTTCCATCATCCATTTTGTCCAGGCCATTCAGTATTCTGAAAGTTTCAATTAGATCCCCCCTCATCCTTTTAAACTCCAATGAGTATAGCCCCAGAATCCTCAAACGTTCCTCATATTGTTAAGCTTTCCATTCCTGGGACCATTCTTGTGAACATCCTCTGACCCTGCTCCAGGGCCAGTACATCCTTCCTGAGATATGGGGCCCAAAACTGCACACAATACTCCAAATGTGGCCTGACCAGAGCCTTATAAAGCCTCAATAGTACATCCCTGCTTTTATATTCAAGTCCTCTCAAAATAAACTGTCACTAGTAAACAGGTGAAATTTTTGATTTTTGTCACAAGTCTCAAGAACAACCAAATGGATTCTGAATGATTGATTCCCATCTGTTCACTAATTTTACTAAACAAGAGACTTTCAACTTTAAAACTGAAATTAACAACAATATCATCTATACAATCTCAAATAAAAGTTCTAAAGTGATTTAGTAAAAGTATAAAGAAAGTCAGAGTTAAACAAATTGCCTACATTGACTGATCTTAACTTTCTTTCCATTTTTTTCTCTTGTCAGGGGTGGTTTGCTGGGAGAAACCTAGCAGCTTCTCAGGTCACAACGAAATACCTTCTGTGGGTGGATGAGGACTTTTTATTCACGGAGGAAACAAAGCTAGAAAAGTTGGTTGATGTGTTGGAAAAAACAAACTTGGATGTGGTAAGGGATTTTTCACACTTTAAGCACAACATGCTGGTGATTCATTGAGCATATTTCTTGCTTCTCTTTGTGCTGAATGATACTGATTTCAACTGCAGTGTGGCAATGAATGTGACACTCCGAAATCCACATTCACTTAAACATTAGTTCTTAGCCCTTTACAAATAAGATAGCAATGTAACAGAAACACTTTCAAAGGCTGGAAATTGAGGATTATCTGATCAGCCATGATGATGTCATTGAATGGTGCTGCATGCTCAGTGGGCTGAAGGGCCTACTTTTGTTCCTATGACTTCTAGTCTTATATAGCTATCACATGAAACGGTATCACCAGTGAAGTAAAGGGGATTTATCATCAAGCAACAAAGTTACGTCACTTGTGGAACTTCAGTATGTGGATGATGTCATCTCTGCTGTCTCAGAAGAGAATCTTTAAGCCTGACTTAATGCTTTCTTGGAAAGTATTCAAAAAATTGGCCTCAGCCTAAACTCAAGACTCAAATTGTTTACCAACTCATCCAAGGTGAGGTTCTATCCATCCCTCCATTAGGTTCAATGGAGAAATTCTCCTCAACATGGAACACTATCCCTGCCTTGGAAGTTACCTCTCATCTAAGTCTTACATCATATCCAAACCACAAGCACCACCTTCGGCCACCTGAGAATAAGAATCTTCAATGACCATGACATCCATGCTGATTCAAGATCCTTGTGGATAAGGCAGCTATTCTTCAATCTCTTCTGTATAACTCTGAAACTTGGACTATGTATACATGCTACATCAAAGGCTTTGAGGTGCTATCAATGCAGTTTCCAATGGATTCTCCACATCAGCCACAAGGATAGGTGTAATAACACCAGCATCCTTCAAGGAGTTAATAACACCAGCAGCAAGTCCATGATCATCCAAAACCAACTCCGCTAGGTGGCCACACGCTTAGGATGCTTGTGTTCCAACTACCAAAGTAATTCATCTTCACCCATCTCCAGGAAGGCACACAAATGATAGGAAGAAAGATGGAAGTGTTTCAAAGACTCCCTGAAGGCTTCCCTCAAGAAATGCAACATAGACGTCAACATGTGGGAGACTCTTATTCAAAAGAAACCAACTTATTAACCAACTGGAAAGTTTACTTTAAAAAACTGCAAAATCTTACCCATACAATGCTTGAAATCACAAGTGAACCCTTTTGCATGGACTTGTCTGAAGATCAGACAAAAACAGATGATCAGCATGCTCTGTCCCAACTTCTAGCTGTTGATCAAATGATTGCAAGCTAACTAATTGTGCTGTGAGGCAAAGGTTTTTTATCCTCTTTCTATACAAAGATGCTATGCATTGACACTCTCGACACTATTGCCTCCAGCAAATTATTTAACCATTGACAAACATCAGAAGTATGTCATGTTTTCCGTGTTTGATCAATTATCTCATTAAGACTTGCTCAAACCTCCTTTGATAGATGTGGCTTATCACTTACTTCAAATGAACTTTGACCTCAGCTTAGCTTCTGCTCACAGTTGACCACTATTAAGTCCTCTAATTATCTAAATGTCATATAATATTTACACAACACAATTCTACGGCCATCACAAATTCAGCTGATAGTCTACATTATCACATTGGATTCAGTTGTCTGTTTTAACAAAACATCAGCATTTCCAGAGTTACTGTGATAGTTCAGCCCGTTCCAGCTGAGTTACAATGCTTGACATAAACAAATATATACATTTCTTCAGCAAAACAGAGAAACACTTTAAAACCAGTGACCCTTCCAACCGTTAGGTATCACTAGGTTTCATATATTTTCTCATTCTCATTCCATTGAACTTAATTTCAGCTAACCCAGCAAATTTTATGTTATTATCTACAATGTTAACTTCTTAATACTGGACCCAACTGGCCATGGCCCATGTTCTGGATTGACTTGCCAGGATAGACCCAACTGAGCACAGTCCAGCCCCTTGATAGATGTCTCTGCAGATCTCCAACAGACTGGTATGACTTAAGCTGTGGGATTAGCCTTGACCCAATCTCTGAACCAAAAGGACATGGATTCCTGAATCCTGACTGGACTGAACACTTGAGTGACCATAGCCAGTCCCTTGGAGTGAGAAGGAATGGTACAACTCAACAAAATAGGTGACAGCCAATCTGTGGTTCACTTTTCAGAGCCACGCACTGACCAATTAACGTCAACCTACCTAGTATAAAACTTAAACAGTTAACTGCCAAGCTTCACTCATGGGTGCATTCTCCACAGCAGTACCTCCATGAATCAAAGTCCACTTGCAAACCAATCAGCACCTTCCTCTCAGGTATTAGATTGGCATTCTTGTGAATTGTTCTGAAGATTGCAAAGTTAAAAGCTTCAGCAAAATATGTCTTTTTCAACAATACTCAAGTTTTAAACTGCTCAACGAGTTTTTGGACAACAGAAATATGTTGATAAATAAGAAGTATGTTGAAAAGGGCCATACAAATTATTAGGAAATCATTTAGAGGGAAGGATTTATATTAGAGTATTTTCCAAATCACATGATATTCCTGATCAATCTTTTTATTTCTAATGAAAACAATTTTACATTTGCAGACTTCTCTTTTTTTGGAGCACTGAACTTAATTATTGTTGTTGATAGAATTGTGTCAATAATTAACATGTTTTTATAAAATTATTTTGTATTTAATGCAGGTGCCAACGTATTTATTTCAAATGGTTAAGGACCTTTAAAAATAATACAAAACATATATTATCAGACCATGACACCTAGACTATAACTAAAGTAACATTTTCAAATAAGGTTCATAGCATATGTAGCATTTCTCAAATAACAAGTACTATTTTTCCACAGGTTGGAGCCTCTGTGAGTGGAAGTCGATTTCAATTCAAGCTGTGGTATGAGAAAGGAAATGATGATGGGGATTGCTTGTTTTCCCAGTTTGGCAGTTTTCATGCACTGGATGGGTTTCCACATTGTGTAGTTACCAGTCTTGTGGTGAACTTCTTTCTGGCCAGGACACAAAAGGTATGGAGTGTTGGATTTGACCCACGATTGTCAAGGGTAGCTCACCCAGGTAATTTCATTCATGCCCTCTGTATGTTTACACTCACGGTTCTGGCTGTATTAACCAGATTTTTATCAAGTTTGATAAAAATGTTTTATCCCCCCAAATGTTTTCCTAATAATTTGTATCCAAGAAATCTAATTGTTGGTCCACTCATCAGAAGGAATAATCTATCTTTAGTCACCTGACCAGAATTCTCATGATCTTGAAAACATCTATCAAGTCTCTTCTTATCTTTCTCTGTTCCAAGAATAACAGTCCCAACTTTCCCGATCCCTTCTCATAACTGAAGTACTCCTGTTTATGAAGTTGCAGAATTAATACTTTTGTTTGAATATTCCTCTATTTATAAGCTAAGTAATCAAATTGCATGTTAGCCATCTTATCACCTTGTCTTACCATCTCTACTGATTTATTTTTCTGAGCACAGATGTCTTTCCACTCAACAACATTTTTGATTTGACGTGAAGTTATTGGCTTTGCCCATTAATCCCACCAAAGGCAACACTTCACACCTTTCTGTATTAGACTTATTTGGATTTTCTGCACATTTCGCCATCCTGCCTATATCATCCTGAAAATTAATTATCCTTGTGATCACCATTACTTTTCCAAATGTTCCATCCTGTGTGAACTTTATCATGCTGGTGGGTACACTTGAAACGAGATAATTTTATAAAAGAGTAATGAATCCAAAACAAACTCTCAGGGAGCATTTTTATTAAAAACCTCCCAAAACATTAATCTACCATTAGCCCTTGCTTCCTGTCATCGAATCAATTTTATCTTGATAATATCAATTTCCTCTTAATTCCATGGACGTTCATTTACTCAATAATCATACTGTAAGACATTTTCTTGAATGTCTTCAAAATATCCCTAACTACATCTATTGTATTACCCTGACCAACCATCTCTACACCTCATTAAAGATTTTAATCCAATTAGGCAGACATAATTTGCCTTTAAAATAAACCATGGCAGTGATCAACATATGTTTCCAAATGAAAGCTATTTTAAGTCTGGTAATGAAGTTCAATAATTTCCCTACCACACACTAGCCTATCCTCATATATCCTCTATTTTTTGTCTCTGACCTCATGAGCTTCTTTTTTCAGTAATCCAGCTAACTATTTGGCAACCCACACAGTTTTTATATGTCCAGAAATTTTCTCTGGTGTCCAAGTGTCAAAATAATTTGTTTATAATTTCTGTTGTTCATTTTTTTTATCCAAGCAAGGACGCTTCTCTTTATTCAAGCTTCAATTTTTATAACTGACCTATTCAATGCTCTCAGAACATCTCTGTATATTAGAGGATCACTGGATCCTGGATCCTATTTAATACCACAGTGAATGTGTTTAATTGTCTGTTTTCTTTTAAGTTAGTAAGACTATTTCAGGCAGTGAAAAGGCACTGCCAGCAGTATTGAGCAAATACACTTGTTGGTTTATCAGTCTGCAAGATAACAGATGTTTAAGCAGAAATGAAAGTTAGAAATATAATCTAAAATAAAAATATACTCCATAGAATATAGTGGCTTCTATTTCACCAAATTGGGTTCAAGTGTGGATTACTGACAGTAAGGTTATGTAAAATGAGTATTTTTCAACGCATAGACATTCTGGAATTTCACTTTGGATAAGATGTTTTTCTTGTTATTCATCATCTCAACATCAGACTTTTCTTCTATAATGCAGTATTACTGATTAGTAAATTTTATTTTGTATCGTTTCTAGAATTTTTCATTGATGGCCTCGGTAGTTTACTTGTGGGATCATGTACTGACGTCCGCATTGGTCACCAGAAGAAAGTAAAACAAACACAGGAATCACTGAAGAATGTTGAAAGGAGATATGCAACTTTTAGACATGCAAATAAGCGTCAATTCAAATCTCGTCTTGCTTTGGTTCACTTCAAAAATTGGCTTAAATGTTACGCCCAATACAAACACTGAAGGGCTCAGTTGCCTTTGCTGTCATCATTTGTTAAATTTGTTTCTTCTCTTTGCACAAGTAGAATTGATTTGAGATGAGCATTTCTTGTTTGAAGCCAAAAGATTGAACTCTTGGAAAGTGGTGAGCACATTCATGTTTTGTTTAAAATGCTGCGCGCCACAAAATAATCAATGAGATGAATATTGCTTCTTCACCTGTTGATTATGATGCTCCAGCCAATCGCAGGAAGGAACCATACTTCTACTTTAAGTAGAAAAACAGATTTCATGTTAAAAGTTAATTCGCCAGTATGCAAGTTCATTTTCATTTAAATTAGCTTTCCTTTTATTTTGAGAATTGTGTAATATTATATTTCAGAGGAATAAAAGAAAGTCAAAAACGAGAAATGTTGTTTGGTCTGTTAAAGCTTATTTTTGCAATAAATGTTAATTTATTCTACAACTGTTGAATCATTTAAAGTGATTATTAATTAGCTGCAACATTAATCTTGCGCAGTATTTATTGTATGTTAAGACCTGATCTGACAGCAAAACAAAGTGATGGAGGTACTCCATTCTAGCAATGAGGGAATCAATGGAATTACTATAAGATTCACTCTGGTTTAGTTTAGACTCTGACTCCAGATTAAGGCTGTATATTTGTTATTGCTGCAGTCTAGGTACCAGAAGGAACCAACTTTCACTGTCAAACTATTGTAAATTAACTCTAACCTGTCACCATTGTATTTAAATGACTTCAAAAACGATGATGTTTTTTGGCTTTATTGCTTGGTTGATTGTTTTAACCACGTATCATTTGTTGAATAAAGGGAGTTTTGAGGCAGAATATCCATTCAATTCTTATTTGCAGTGGTTTCCATTTATTACTTTTCACTTTTCTTGTCAAATTTCAGCCAATAATCTGGATATAACTATTGTTTGCCAATAGGCTTTGTTACAACAGAGGCTGGAGGAGTCCATCAACGTCACAGGTCACAATATAAAATTTAAAATATTCTTGTTACTAAGATGACCAATCCAACACCTTACCTATATCAGGTTTTAAGAAAAAGTATTTACCAATCAAGTTTCTTAATTGTATCAATTATTATTTATTATCAAGCCAAAATGTATTCAATAAAGATGAAATAACTGGTTAACATACACACTCAGTTATTAGAAAAATCTCTCTCTACAGGAAAAGAGAAAAAAAGAACAGATTGTTTTGGCAGAGATTGGCCCTCTGACATACAAAAGATTCTGCCTGATGGTTTATTATTGAAGACAAAGAGACAAAGTACAGAACGTTCTAGAGCCTGTTGCTCTGATGTTCTGGCTGGTCTGACCAAGTCACTAATTATGTGTAGTTGTCATTGAAATCTTGCAGACACGGCTTTCCCTGGAAATACAATCTTGACATGTTTCTTCAATCACTCTTTAGAGAACAAATAGGTTTCACCCTGAACCCAACAGGGGATTTTTGTATCCTCACCATAGAAATTACAAAAAATCCAGTAATAGCTTTAAACCCAAACTTGAAAGAGAACAAGGGACACAGTGAAATTAAAATCACAAGGGACTTCATACCATGGTCTTAAAAAAGGTGGAGAAAATAAGTCAGTACATGAGTTGGTGTTAATTTTGTAAAATACTTTTGATTCAGGGAAGGGAGCATAACACTTGAAATTAGCAAATATAACTCTGTTCTTCAAGAAAGGAGGGAGGCAGAAAACAGGAGACTATAGGCTAGTTACTTTGATATTCGTTATGTTGGAATTGATTCTTAAAGAGATTATAACTGTGCACTTAGAAATAGTCAAGGTAATCAATAAGAGTCAGCACGGTTGTCAAAGGGAAATCATGTTTTGCCAATTTATTGAAAGGAATTACATGAACTTTGAACAAAGGGCAGCCTGTAGACATTTAATATTTGTCTTTTCAGAAGGCATTTGATAAAGTGTCACATCAAAGGTTATTGTAGAAAATAAAAGCTCATCATTTAGGGGTAACATATTAGCATGGATAGAATGTGGGCTGGTATGGCAAAAACAGAAAATGTGGAGGTTACGATGCAGTGGCAACGTCACTGAAGCAATAATCTGGATCTTGGGGACATGGGTTTGAATCCCTTTTAACTGGCACCTTAGTACTGGCACTCTCGATAAACTGGCAAAAGTTACAGACCTCAAATACCAAATGTTACTGTATTACTCTGTCCAGTTATTATAGTTTTTTTAATTTATTTACTTCAATGTAAATATACTTGTTGCTTAATTGAATGGCCACACGAAAGATCAATAGTTGATTTAATTTCAAGTCAATTTCTCCTCAAATATTGTGATCTACCACAATGTCTTTCGTTTGTTGAGGGTGTAAGTGAGAAGGCTTTCTGCCAGTCGGTTTTGTTTAAGGCAAAGTTGCATTATTATTTAAGTGATTTATGCTGTAAATAAAATATAACAGTGTTATGTTTATCTACTGCATTACATTTCTATTACTTACTGTATGTTTTTACATTGGATAATCAAGAGATCCACATAATCAGAATACTTGATCAACCAGCACACTCCTGGTCCCATAGGTGCAGGTTAATACAAAGTTTGCTGTAAATAAATTGAGTGAGCGACCAAAAATCTGGTGGATGGAGCTCACTGTGGGAAAAGGTGAAGTTGCTCATTTTGGAAAGAAGAGTGAAAAAACAGGGTATTAATTAAATGAAGAATGACAGTGAAATTTCAAGGAGGAGAGGTATTTTTACATTCTAGAGCATAAGTCACAAAAGGTCAATATGCAGGTATAGCATGAATCAAGAAGGCTAATGGGATGTTATCCTTTATTATAAGAGGAACTGACTTAAAAGAAAGAATGTTATGCTTCAGATATGCAGGGCAGTGGAGACCACATCTCAAATACTTTATATAGTTTTTGTCTCCTTACTGAAGAAAGGATGCCATGATGTGGAGATATCGTTGTTGGATTGGGGTGGATAAAGTCAGAAGTCACACGACACTAGATTATAGTCCAATAATTACAAGCTTTCAAGCGCTGCCCCTTCAACAGGTGAAATTAAATAAGTGAAATAAACCTGTTGGACTATAACCTGGTGTCATGTGACTTCTGACTTAAGAAAGGGTGTAAATGAATTGGAGGTGGTTGATACCTGGAATGAATAGGTTGTCCTATGAAAAAAGGTTGGACAGACTAGGTTTACATTCCCTGAAGCTCAGAAGAATGAGGGATGACTGGATTGAAGTGAATAAGGTCTTGAATGGCCTTCACAAGGTGGACATGGGAAGGGTGCTTTCTCCTGTGGGTGAGTCCAAAACTAGGAAGTGTAGTCTTAAAATTAATTAATTAAAACTAAATTCTAAAAGGTTTCCCTTTTAAAGCAGAGGTGAGGTGATTCTTGTTCAACTAGTTGTACAACTTTGGAGCTCTGTGTCATAGAATTGAACCTGTGTCATTCAATATGTCAAAGGTGGATAGTTTCTTGTCAGGCAAGAGAATCAAAGGTTATTAGAAAGACAATGTGGAATTCTAAACAGAAACAGATAAGCCATAATTTTATTAAATGGCAGAGCAGGCTAGAAGGGCCATTTGAGTTACTCCTGCTTCTATTTCATATGTTTGCAAGGGAGCATTCTTCTAGAAATGAGAGGGACTAGTTGGACAGCTTGTTCTTGGTAAGCTTTCCTCTCATTTGGTTTGTTCTCAGCAGAGTTTCCTCCACTGACCGAGATACAAGACAACCTTGTCCAAGACTGTCACGGTTCATAGTCCTAGCAATGGTCCACAATAATTCAAGTAGTTAACACCATTCACATGATTTACAGGAAGGCTTGTTAAAATAATTTCTAATGTACACAATGAACTTTCAATTACCTCTTTTAAAGAAATAACACCAGGTACAGTTCAAAAAACTTGAAATAAACATTGTTAACATAATCCTTCAAAACTGAAGTCCTCCAAGCAATATTAAATATGATGTGTCTTTACAAATGTTTATGTCGTTATGTTCAACTTTACTCAGTTGCTTTCTGTTTTTTTTAGTTTACACTATACAATGCCTTTCTCACAATGGATCCATTTAAGATTTAGAATCAAAGTTGTCATTGATATCTGTAATTTAAGCTGTTATTATTTGTTCAAAATCTGGCTGCATGCATGTCCGAACCTCGAGATGTAAATCATTCATGTGAATTATTTGTGGCATGGTGACCTAAACTGAGCACAATATTTTTGAACAAAACCACCATAACCTTTGCAAACATCCATAAGGAGCAGAGGTTCATCTGTCAATGCAAAGACATGCTTGGAAGAAGTGCCAGGCAGCAAGTCAGAAGGAGAGATCTGCCCCTTCTAATGGAGGACTTCCAATTATCCAGTCGCTGAAATAAACAATTTGAAAATCAGACATGTTGTAAATTGAGTATATTTACCTGTCTCCAATTTTGCACCCACATCAAGTCAGGCTTTGCAATAGGAATGGAATCTCCAAATCTTTAATCTTATTATGCAATTGCTTTTTCACGAAGTTTATTCATTAAAATGAATAAATTCACTACAGTTTTTCTACATGTTGCCTATTCCATTCATTACATGTTTATTTAGAAATGTTTTAACCCACTGAGATTAACAATCCTTATCACCTACACATCCCATACACATAAGGGTCAGCCAGGTATGTTGCAAATCAGGGCACTAGTCATAATTCATGACCATGGGTATCATTTATAAAGGTGCCCTTAAAACATATCACACACACCAGCTATTCTGTACAGTTCTGTCCAAACAGTGGTCAAGTTGCACAGTCATCTGTTCATAATATTAACAACATAAGGCAATTGCAAACTAAAACTTTTTGCACCTTTAATCATTGACCACTACTTATAAAGGGAAAAACATGTTTGCATAAATATGACCCAAAACCTCAACTTTCCTGCTTTTCTAACGCTGCCTGGCCCGCTGTGTTCCTCCAGCTCCACACTGTGTTATCTCTGACTCCAGCATCGGCATGTTAT